TCTCGCTCTGTGGGTCGGGGTCAAAGGTGACGAGTCAAATCCGGGATGGGTCAAACCCATCACCTCCTTGACCCTATAAAAGGGCCTTTGGCCCTCTTAGTTAAGGGATCCTCTCTACGAACTCCCTCTCTTTCTACACATATAGCTCTCCATTTTTCCTCTACAAAGAACAAGAAGAACACCATTAATAAAGGACCTATTCTTCTATATCTTCTTGTCTATTATGTGTTGCTTATACATTATATACACACGATCTATATACATACATTCTACATCCTATAGGAGCAGAAATTAGTACTATCAAATGGCGCCGTCTGTGGGGACCGAAGCATAAGGCTACGTTCCGGCAATCAAAGAAAAATCAATAGCAAGATTCTGGAAATGGTGGAGATTCAAACCCAAGTGCTCGAATTGCAAGGCTAACGCCCCAACCGCTGAACCATGATGCTTTTTGTTTCATATTCTCTGCTCTTTATCATTTGAGGGATTCAGTAGAGGCCATTTTGCTTCCAAATCCCCTTTTGCATGCAGCCGATCCACTTGTTCATCAGGCCTTGCTCCCAGTTTGCAGATTCCAGTTTCATCATCAGGATCACCTTGATTTTCAAAGACACCATCACCATGCTTCATCGCTGCTTCTGGAAATTCCATGCACGCCGTCCACCAACGCAAGCCACCGGCAGAAAGGCGAGAAAACGAAGACCAGTGCAGGAGGATCAATTCGGCTACCTCTTCTCACTTTCCAGCATTAATTACACTCAAAGATCACCTAAAATCCAATGGCATCGAAGACCCCGCTATGGTTGCAGCAGATCACAGACAATCGCCGCCAACAATTTTCGCGGCACCACCATTCTGTCGGCATGCAACCACCACTCGCATCACCGCCGAAGATTCCAGCTCCACCACCCGTCTCCATCATTCCTCCATTATCTACTTCGTCGATCACCATCACCGTGCACACTGCTTGCCGGAGATGAAGCTGCGTCGCCATGTGCCTTCCTAGTGTCCGATCGACCACATGCAGCCCAGGTGATGAAGATGATCTATCTCTCTTAATTGACTTTTTGTTCATCTCTGAACCTAGCATGTGGGTCCCATCCTCCAAAGATCACTTCTGGGAATTCTGTTCTAAGTCCAAGAAGCTCTGGTTACCCTCCGTGCTTGTCGGACGTGTGCGTACGGGCCAGGCTCTCTCAGTCACTCCGGCCTCCGCATCCCAGACCACACTTCTCCTCCAACTCGTTCTCCGGCGACGTCCCAGTTTCCCTCCGGCGAGTTCCTCTCCTCCGGCGGGTTGGCGTAGCGAACAGAAAGCAGAAGGTGGGAGGTGGTGCATGCCCAGCAAAATCAAGGAACAATTAGTGGATGTGTGGGCGGTGGAGTGCGGTGTCATTCTTTGCAGAATCAAGAAAATTGCATGGACTGTGATTGGCCAATAGTGGGTGGTGGCCTTGGACCCCTCAAAAGCAGGCTACATGACATTAGAATATGCAAGAGCAAAATAAAGGACTGTTGAGCCAATTTTTGCAAGTTGAAAATTTCAATTGTAACTTTAAATTGTAAGTTCTATTATAACTTGTGCGTAGCATAGTTCTAGCAAATTGTATAGGCTATATGTTCGTATGTAAAGTAGAATAGTCAAAGTTAAATGTAATAAGTCCGGTTAGGTTGGTATTTCCACCACCGGCACCCTAAGCTCGGACAGGTCTGTCACGCCACCTCCGACTTACGACCGCAATGTCGTTAAACTTTTCCGGCCCCAACCGATGAGGGCGAAAGCCCGACGACCACAACGTCGCTTAAACTTGACCGGTAACACCGGTGAGAATTTTTCCGGCCCCAACCGATGAGGGCGAAAGCCCGACGACCACAACGTCGCTTAAACTTGACCGGTAACACCGGTGAGAATTTTTCCGGCCCCAACCGATGAGGGCGAAAGCCCGACGACCACAACGTCGCTTAAACTTGACCGGTAACACCGGTGAGAATTTTTCCTGTCCCAACCGATGAGGGCGAAATCTCGACGACCACAATGTCGCTTAAACTTGTCCGGTAACACCAGTGACGGAGATAGCCCGACGACTAGTAATGTCGCTTAAACTTCCACCACACCAAGATTGAAGCAGACAAGGTTCCTATAGCTTTAGTTCCAGTTAGATTTCCAAGTCCGGTTAGGTCGGCATTGCCACCACCGACTTGGTCAGTTCGAGATCACATCTCAGTTTCAAGCCCTACAAGTTAGACATTTTAAAAGACCAGTTAGAGTGGCCTCGCCACCACTGGCACTTTGAGACCGGATAGGTCGGCATTGCCACCTTCGGCGTTCTAAAGACCAGTTAGGTTGGCTTTGCCACCACCGGCGTTTTAAGACCAGTTAGGTTGGCCTCGCCACCACTGGCACTCTACGATCGGTTAGGTTGGCATTGCCACCACCGAACTATTAGCCAGAGATCGTATCTCGGCTTTAAGCCCTATGAGGTAGGCACTTCTTAGACCGGTTAGGTTGGCCTTGCCACCACCGGTCTAGTTAGCCGAGATCGTATCTCGGCTTCGAGACCTACGAGTTAGAGATTTTTCACTCGATCTCATTAGAAACCCGATCACTTGATCGGTAGCCCGTAAACCCTCTACTCGACTAGAGGTCCGATCACTCAATCGATCAGTTCAAAATTCGTAAAATTCCAAAAGTCCTATAAATTAAGCAAGTCGACCGATAGTGCACCAACACTTTTAAGCTCAGTCGGATCATTTCCCGATCGTCGACGTTGTGGGTATAGCCTGGTGCACTCGCACCGCGGACCCGGTCGGGTCATTTTTTGATCGCGATCAAAGTTAGTAAAGCGAACTCAGTAACCCGTCGTGTTTACTCCCTTATGTTGACAATTCTCACACCTAAGGGAGTGGGGGGCTGCATCGGTAGAGTAGCTTGTTCGCTTTTTAGTTTTCCCAGGTGGATCGGTCAAATCGTGTTTACCAAAACGCTTACATCGCTCTTCGGTCGAATCGCAGTCGCCCGAGTAGACCAACTTAGCTCGTTTTGCCGAAACGTTTCTTGGGTTGACTGAATTTCGGTTCTCTTAGCAACCCCGTCGCTTGGGAGCTCCCGGTCCATAAATTGACACGTAAAAGGGAGCACATTCCCCGTTTAGTTGGTTGTCGTTTTCGAAACGTGTCTCGCTATCGTTGGACCATCGGGTCCCTTAGCGTCCCTCCGCCCAGGACCTTCAATTCGTAAACCGAGTTTGAAAAGGGGAAAAGCGCCCGGTCGAGTAACTCGTAGTTTTCAAAACCAAATCAAAGTGATTAGTGCAATAATCAGAACCAACCAAACGCAAAACGATTAAGAGCGATCTTCTTACTCGAGCGTTTTAGATCAAAGTTTGACCGAGCTCAAACTAGTCGCAACTAATCGACCCGAGTAAAGCAGGTAAAGCGTTCTTGCTTGCAATCCACGCGATCGAGTAGTTAGCAGCTTTCCTTGCAAATCCAATCTCCCGATCGCTACAAGCCAATCCCTAAGAAACGGTGCCGGTTGATTTCTTTTTCCACGCAAAGGTTCGATCCGCAAATCGTAAAACAAATCCAATCCAGTAATTGGTAAAATAGATCTTCAGATCGCAATCAAATCAACCTCCCGGTCATACTCACCAGTCCGGTCGTTAAAATCGACAAAGTGTGATCTCGCAAATTGCGTTGCAAGTCCGACCATTAAGGTCAGGCGCTCCCTTTTGGTCCACCAGACTGCGCTTAATGTTGTGCTCTTTTTTCCTGGGCTAAATTTTTTCCCACTAGGTTTTTTATCAGCCTAAGGTTTTTAATGAGGCAACCGGCACATGTCACGGATCGTGTAACCAAATTTTTCCAGCCCGAACCCTTCCTCGCTAACTCGTCGTCAAAACACGGGCTGGGGGGGGGGGGGGAGGGGGGCTTCATGATAGGTTATATACCCCGGGTCCGTGTTCCCTTTTGTAGTCGGGTCGGGGTCAAGCGGTTCGGGTTTCACTCTGTGGGTCGGGGTCAAAGGTGACGAGTCAAATCCGGGATGGGTCAAACCCATCACCTCCTTGACCCTATAAAAGGGCCTTTGGCCCTCTTAGTTAAGGGATCCTCTCTACGAACTCCCTCTCTTTCTACACATATAGGTCTCCCTTTTCCCTCTACAAAGAACAAGAAGAACACCATTAATAAAGGACCCATTCTTCTATATCTTCTTGTCTATTATGTGTTGCTTATACATTATATACACATGATCTATATACATACATTCCACATCCTATAGGAGCGGGAATTAGTACTATCACCCAAATATCAGAATATATTAATTCTAAAGGTTGTGTACTAGTAGTTTCAACACAAGATAATGGAAAACGAGATGATTTTTCCAATTGACAAGAGGAACAAACATTGGGAAGATCTTTCGAATTAAATGTACTAACAGAGGAAGACTCTAAAATTTTGCGTAACACTCGAGAGTGCGGATGCCCCAACCGCATGTGCCAAACGAAGGACGAGCGTGCAGCAACAAAAGCAGCTGGAGCAGGAGAAGACGCAGGCCAGGAATAGAGACCTCCGGACACATGCCCTTTAAAAAGGACTTTCTTGGTCAAAGTGTCATTCACAAAGAAACAAAGAGGGTGAAACTCAAAGAAAACATTATTATCTTTGGCAAAACGCTGAACAGATAATAATGAACTAGAGAGACCAGGGACATGCAAAACATCACGCAATGTAAATGATCTAGAATTAGTGGCTAACGAAGCAGAACCAACATTAACAATAGCCAAACTTGTACCACTGCTGACGCGCAAAGTTTTCGGGCCATCATAACTTGTTGCGGAAGTCATCAAGGACGAATCAGGTGTAGCATGATTTGTAGCACCAGTGTCTGGGAACCACTCATGTGGACCAGTGTGATCACCATTTTCACTAGAGACAGCCACATTCTCCTGAGGAGCCGGGGAGGTGGAGTAACGATGCTAACACGAGAGAGCCCTGTGTCATTGTTTGTTGCATATTTGGCACCGAGGACCCGTGCCCGAGCCACGCCAGCGTCTGCTGCTGCCCGATCCTCGACCGCGATCGTGTTGCTGTGTCGCGTTGCCACGACCACCGTGGCTGGGGGCCACACCGCCTCGGCCAGCAACCATTGCAACCGGCGGTACCCCGCCGTCTCCATCGACAGCGCAGATCCACTCTTGTGACACCAAGAAATCCGCCACCTCTGCAAGCGGAACCGCAGCACCCCGAGCTAGGGTTGCTACAAGTGGACGAAACTCAGATCGCAAGCCACGGAAGACGTATAGGTTATGGTCGTCTAACGTAACATCACGACTGGCAAAAGCCAAATCATCAACCAACAACTGTGCACGACCAATATAATCTGCGATGGAAGAATCACCTGTCCGAAGGGCTTGCAATTCACCGAATATTCGCAATGCCCGAGAACGCGAGGAAGAGGCAAGAGATTGTTCGATGGTGAGCCAGAGTTGCCGGGAAGTAGACCGACCAACGGCGAACCGCATCGTCTCCTCCGAAAGAGACGAAATTAAGAGGGACAAAATAGCCTTGTCTTGTCTCTTCCAAGCTACCTGCCGAGCGACGAGTTCACTCGCTGCCGTGAGACTGTCGACAGTCGAGGTAGAGGCGTCGGCCAACGCTGTGACCGAGTATTGTAGACTACCATCGATGAAGCCGAGAAGACCTTGACCTTCAAGAAACGGTAGCATCTGTGTCCGCCAAAAGAGATGAGCCGATGAGCCGTGTCCGCCAAAAGAGGTCAGCTTTAAAGAAACAAAGTGATGAGCCGATGAGAGGCTATTGCTGGTGGTCATAGGGGAAGTCTCGGTAACGGTCCGTTCAGAAGATCGAATAGAGCCATCATCAGGGAGACCGAGACCTTCTATTAGAAAAAACCTGGAAGCTGATACCAGATGAGAATATAATTGTGTTGTATTCAATCATAATGTCTGAGAGTATAGAGAGCGAATATATAGGTACTAGATAGAATTCTAGTCTAACACGAATAATATACTCCTAGTCTAATATGGATAACATAGTCCTAATAAGAAGAAATGTGTGTGTTGCAGGAGAACTTGAGATTTTGTAGAAATTGTGGATCCTACTCATTTTTAAAGCTTCTCCGCCTTTTCGGGTGAAAGGCCCGCTAGGCGTGTTTCACATTCTTTTTTTTTTTTCTTTTTTCTTCTGCTGACATTTCATTTTTTTTTTTTCGTTGTTTTACCACCTCCTCCATTTTCTCTTTCTTAATCACACATACAAAAACTCCTCAAAAATCACACCAAAATTCTCACCGATGCCCTAAGTGATTGGCATATTATATTATTCTCCTTTCGTTTGTGTAGGGGTGGTCGAGTAGGTCACGAATTCGATTCAATTGGGCCCATTGCACAAAGCCTTCCTAATTCGATTTACCTCCTATACAAGGTCTTCCACTCTTCCTAGTGTGATTTATCTCTCCTTGCAAAGTTTACTCATTACATACCATCGAGTAGTGACTGTAGGTCCACGCTATAATTTAAAAACAACAAAAATAAAAAACATATATATACACACGCAATTCGGTTAATCGACACTTTCGAACCAAATTAACCATTAATCTAAATTCTTAAACAAATTAATCATTAACCGAATTGTAATATTTCGGTTAAAAAATGGTTAACCGAGTTTGGTCAGTTAACCGATCTTTCACCGAATTGTGCACATCCCTACTCTCAGTTGGGATTGTCGCACAATATAATGTCTTTCTAGTGCGGTTTATCTCTACTCGTTAAGTTTACATATTGCATACCTTCGGATAGTAGCTGCAGGTTTCTCATGCCATTAAAAAAATAAGAGTTAATTCCATTTTTGGTCCTAGATTTATAGGTGGTAGTCCACTTTTAGTCTTTGTTTTTTTTTTTTTTTTTTTTTTTTTTTTTTTTTTTTTTTTAGAACATCCACATTTGGTCCTATTATTATTTTTGGCATGACTATTTTTTGTCATCTATCAACAAATTAAAACATTTTTAATGCCGTTAAATACAAAAGCATTTCGGTCTTCAATTACAGATTTTTTCAAAAAAAATAAACATAAAAATATAGTGGGATCAGCTCACTTTGTATAAAAATGATTAGAATGTCTTTGTATTTAACAACATTTAAACGATTTTGTTGACGGAGGGTCAAAAATGATCCTACCACAATAATACTAGAACCAAATGTGGATAAATAAATAAATAAATAAATAAATAAATAAAAAGTGAACTACCACTTATAAACTCAAAAAATAATAAATAAAACTTTGTATGACGTTGATCGATGTACTTGGCAGAGGTTTAGATCCTCACGGAATCTAATTCAATTGAAGTGTTAAGTGCACTTACATAGCTCTCGTCTGATGAAGTCTACATTCCTAAAGTGCGCAATTTATATATTATATGGTGACTTCTAATCTATGAGCCGATCAAGAAATTACTTTTTTATTATTCAGAAAAGCTTGGAGGGTGGGGGGAGATAGGGCAAATTATGCCCTGGACCCGTGTCCACAATGAATTGTGGACACGGGCCCAAAATGACATCGTTTTTAAAAAAAAACGTGTCGTTTAGTTAAAAAAAAAAAAAATCGCGCGCGTTTTGCCGTTAACGGCGTTATTTTTTTTTTTTTGATTATGAATGTACAGTTATGCCGTTATGAATGTACAGTTATGCAATTATGAAATTATGAACACAGAGCTCTAACATTATGAACTTACAATTATGAACATATATAGTGATAAAATTATGACCATGGAGCTTTAAAATTGTGAATATAGAGCTTCGAAGATTATGAATGTACAGTTATAGAGTTATGAATCTACAGTTATGGAGTTATGAATCTACAGTTATGAGATTATGAATCTACAGTTATGGAATTATGAATGTACAGTTATTGATCGAATTATGAACAAAGAGCTCTAACATTATGAACTTACAATTATGAACATATAGTGATAAAATTATGAACATAGAGCTCTAAAATTGTGAACATAGAGCTTCGAAAATTATGAATGTACAATTATGGAGTTATGAATGTACAGTTATGACGTTATGAATGTACAATTATAGAGTTATGAATGTACAGTTATAGAGTTATGAACGTACAGTTATGGAGTTATGAATGTATAGTGATTAACATATAGTAATAAAATTATGAACATATACTTCTATAACAAAGTGATCTGAAATTAAAAAAAAAAAAAAAAAAAAAAAAAAAAAAAAGATAACAGTGCCTAACGGCACTGTTACCCGTGTCCAGCAAGCATGCTGGACACGGGTCCAAGGCATAACGATTGGGGAGATAGGGGGCTTGGAACTTGGAAGATTACCCTTCCCCTCCCCTCCCCTCCACTATGAGGGATGAATGTTGACAACACTATATATTAATTATTTATTGTATTTGAAATTATGAAAATTTTTCCGATATCTCTTATTTTATGTATTTTTTAATATAAAATTAAAAAGCTGATCATATATTTTGGTAATATCAATTGATGGGGTTAGAAAAAAAAATGGTATTGGTATTAAAAAAAAAAAGTACTTTATATATAGGTTGTTTCCAAAAGGCTGAATTCGCATCTGGAAGGATGTAAATCGACCTTCATTTAGGAGTCCTCATCACTTGGAGCACTGCCGCAAATAAGACTCGATCCCGAATCATTGTTTCCAAGACTCATCATGTAGGTGTTAACTTGAGTGGAAGTGTTTGAGTTATGTGTTAGATTAATTGTATCAACAATGCAGTACTCAAAATAAATATAATAAATAAAGCCTCTTTATTTTATTTTTCACAAAAAAAAAAAAAAAAAAAAAAAAAAAAAAAAAAAAAGACATCGGAGTAAGATGAATTATTTTATGCTCAAGTTTTCATTTGATCACTTTTCATCGATTTCTCATTTACAAATTCATAAAATTTCTTTCAAAATTAATGAGATACCCTTGCTTTCACCCTTATTAATATAAAGACATTGTAGTCTTTAGATTAAACTTGGTTTGGTTTGAAAAAAATAAATAAATTAAAAGACTACAAATGTACATTAATAGTCAAGAACCAAACGTAAAATTAATATTTCATATGTCCCATTTTATGTGTCTGGTTATGTTAACGAGGTTTGACTAAGGTTATTTTTAATTTGAATTTTCATAATATTAAGTTTAGTATTAATATACAAAATTTATATATTTAAAAAATACATTAAATACTATAAACACAAAAAAAGTTAACTTTAATTTAAAAATAAGTAAAAAATATTAAAGAAAATAAACAAAAAATAAAGAATTAATTTGATCCGTGAATAGTAAATATAACAGATAAAATAAGACTGGAGAGTAATTGTAGTGAAGTCTTTCCCGTAAAATGATATAATTAAAAACTACACAACAAAATACTACTTGACTGATTGAGCAAATTAAATAAGATCTCAAAATTATATTTCGAAATAAATTCAGTTGAACATTGTTTTTTTAAAATAACACAATCATGAATTAAATTATTACACTATTAAAGTCAAAGAGAAAGTGAATGATAAAGTTTTGGAACATTATGGCCGTGGGTGGTGTCGGACATGATTAGCGACAACATATATTGTGGTCAACTCATCATCACGCGAGGTAGCTGCGAGCTAGATTGCTTATTTTGACCTTAGTAATCGAGGCTCATCGACCAGACTCATAAAAAGATAAATCGAGTCAATTTAATTTCGATACTCAACACTAAATTACAAATTTCTGTACACAAAGATTTTATCTCAAATCTAAATTTTCAATATTTGTGCATGTCAAGAATCAAATTCCACCCTGTTGTTGAAAGTAAATTTTAAGTGAAAATTTTTATCAACTAAATTAAGGTGGACCGGGACAACCTAAATACTAATTATTAAGGCTGCTAATAATTCGCCTTAGCTTTAATTTACGTATAGATCTGCGAATTGAAATTAATAAAGATGGTCAACCATTCACATAGTGGGTATATAGCACAACATCATCCACTTTATTTTGCCACTTTGGGGATGGAAGTGATGGACTTAAATTAGTGCATGGTTTAATATAATGGAGCTAAGCTACTTGTTAATGACGGTTGTTAAATTGATAAGTAGAAGAATTCAAACGATATATATATATATATATATATATATATATATATATATATATATATATATATATATATAGAGAGAGAGAGAGAGAGAGAGAATTATATTCAAATACAAACGTATGGATTATAAATGCATGCATGCGCGCGCGCACATACATACATACATACATACGTACATACATACATACATACATACATACATACATACATACACACATATATATATATATATATATATATATATATATATATATATATATATATATATATATATATATATATATATATATATATATATGGGGTTAAATCTCAATCATTGATTTTGTCTAGATCAATCGTTCAGAATGAAGATTTTTTTTTTTCTTTTTAAAGTGTAGTGGCATTATAGTTATTTTATGTAAGTTCAGATTTATTTTATTTTATTTTATTTGGGTGCATATTGTTCCTTCTTCGAGTGCATATTGTTCCTTCTTTGAGTGTATAGTTTATCTTCGAGTGCATGTTTACTTTATTAGTTCCTCAAAAGATGGTACAGTATTTCCCTTCTTCGATCGAGTGCATCATTTTTCTTTCTTCAAGTGTATAACTTTAGACCATTGGGTGCATAACTTTAGACCATTGGATGCATAACTTTAATATAAATAACTTTGCACCTTGGGGTGCATAGAGTTTAGCCTACGAATACATAAATTTTAATCAGGTGCATAACTTATTTAATTTGTTGCGGCTTTAGTGTGAGTAACTTTGACTCTTCAGGTGCATCACTTTAATTTGGAACTAACGGCGCATAACTTTCAACATTAGGTGCATAACATTGAACTTAATGTACATAACTTTGAAACTTAAAAGAAGATACAAGATGCATAACTTTAGCGTGTGTATCATTTCATTAAGTAATAGTAATGGTTGAATTTGATCTTCAGACTATTATTATATTAGTAATTAGTAATATAATTTCAGCGAGTTACAAAAGTGTTCCTCACCTTCAAGCTTGCGATTGAAGAATTCAACTTCCTGGAAGCTAGGGTTTGTTTGTTTGTTTTTTTTTTTTTTTTTCTTTTTAAAGTTTCTTTATTATCGACCGTTGATTTAGATTAGATCAACGGTTTAAATCTCACTCCATTTTTTCACATGTGAGTTCCTTTGCATGCAATCTTCTCCATATATATAGAAAAGATATCAGATGCCAAAAATGTCTTAGGTGAAAAATGAGATTAAATCTCAACCATTGATTTCATCTAGATCTAGCGTCCAGAATGAAGAAAAAATTCTAAAAAAATGCGGTGGCATTATGGTAATTTAGTGTAAGTAAGTTTATTTTCTTTGGGTGCATTATTTTCCTTGGTTGCGTGCATATTATTCCTTCTTTGAGTGCATATTGTTCCTTCTTTGAGTGCATGTTTTGTCTCTTCGAGTGCATATTTACTTTTTTCTTTGGGTGCATTATTTTACTTCTTTCGGTGCATGCATATTGTTCCTTCTTTGGGTGCATGTTGTTCATTATTCTCTATATATATATGTGTGTGTGTGTGTGTGTGTGTGTATATATATATATATATATATATATATGTATGTCACATTATTATTTGTATAGAGCATGCATGGTCTTGAGGAATACACATGTAGGTCATTATATTGTTGCATTTGTATGTGTTATTTCTAGCTAGGATGATCATCAAAGTGGACGTTACGTTACAATACACCTCCATTACATGCACGTTTGTACGAGTCATTTGGTTTCAATGCGATAAACTTATCATTGTATTAAGACAATACGAAACCTATCTACCTAATTAAGTATAGTACTAAATTGGCTACCATAATATAGCTCCATATTCTAAGGACAATAATTCTACTTTAGTCAAATTCTTTAACGTAGAATCCGAACTGCGGCATTAATCTTCCAATTCATCAGCAGCTAAATCCTGCAAAATCCATCAGCAGCAAATTAAACACATATTAACTAATTGCGCATAGCTATTTTCACTTTTAAAGTTTATAATGCTGGTTAGTATCGATATTTGTTAATTGCACTAGGTACAAAAAGAAAGAGTAGTGAAAAATATTTTAGAAATTTTTCTATATAATAAGTGAAAATATTATGCGTACTCTATGTATTCGATGTTGATTTTGGCATGGGGAGAATGAGAGATTTGAGAAAAAGCATCTTTGGACAAAAGTATAGTGGAAGGGCATGGCCTTTTTGAGCAAAAATCCACCACCCTGACGTCTATGGCGTCGCCCTTGCATGGCCGGTTGTTACCGCTAAGGCAGCTCAGCCTGTACCGCCGCCCGCATGCCGCCCCGTTATCCCACAGCCCCTCGCTCACCGCCACGAATAGATTCCCCGCCGGGAACTGATCCACCCTATTCCCGTTACATCTAGTCGCTGCAAAGTATATATATATATATAACAACCAACTAAATAGATGAGTGGTCATAGACTCAAATCCCGTGCCGATCATAAGTATTTCAAAATAATAGTAATAAACTAATTTAAACAAATAATCATCCATAATTAATAGTAAGAAGAAGAAGAATTAGAGAATAATTAATTACGTGAATATGGGGGATTATAAGATGTTGCTGTGCCTATGTCTCCGAGGACAACTAGGTTTGGTTTCGGAGAGAATAAGGCTAATAAAACTATAACAGTGATTCTGATAACTTGAAGGTAGATGGCCGCCTCCATGAATGATTGACAAGCGAGCAAACAGTAAAGTTAAAGGTGGCTGGCTATGGAGAAAGGGAGAAGAAACGAAACGACAGTTTTGTTGGTTTTAGAATGAATTAATTGGTTTGCATATATGTACCACCTTTATATAGTTGTTAAGGTTTTGTCCTCTTTCGGTTTTACAATGTGGAAACGTTAGAAGTGGTACGTAGTGGAGTATATAGCATGTGTGTATTTCTACTATTTTGATGGCCACCACGCAGTCCACAAAAATAATATTCTATTCATCCAATATAGTTTACACTGCACCTAACAATAAAAGCTCAACAAACAACCCTATACAAATACGGAAAGTCCAAGTGCTGATCAACATCGATGTTTTTTTTTATATTGGGTGGAACTTAAAAATTTTGATAAAAACTTTGAATTTGTATCAGGACTAGTCCATTCATAGAGAAAATCTAATCTACAGTGCTGATTGACATGGTACTTTTTTTCATTATATTGGATGCAACCCAATAAGCCCGCTTTAGATTTATAGCCGACGTGATACAAACTCAAGATTTATATGTAGCAAACTTGGTGCAACGGCGAATCAGCACCTTAACATTTAAAACAATTTATGATCATTTTTGCACAATAACTTCACCAACAACCACACCAAACTCAAAACCATAAAGAGGTGGACAAAGAAAATAGAAAGAGCAGCGTCTTTTGTTGACTACTGATCAATAACACATTAAATTATACAACTTCACGTCAAGTAATAAGATTTGTCTCGTAAAAAATACACTTGATATATAATGCGCACTATTGTACAACAACAACAATTGAAATTGAGGTTCAATACAATGTGTAATCTAGTTTTTTTTTTTTTTTTTTTGGTCCTTTTCATGAAACTTGAAAGACAAGAGTTATCTCTTTAATTTGCTTTTAGATTGGTGTATGTATGTGGCCTATGTTTTGCTTGACTTTTGAGTTCCTTTCTTTATCATCAGTTGCAAGCTTCTAGTGCATGCCATGCCTAGCTTTTACATTGAGCTTTCGTGGCTGTTAATGGATTTTTGCAACTTTAATTTTCTATTGCTTCTACCCACTGCACCTATGGCTTATCCGTAATCTTCTTCACTTTTTACCTTTTCTAGAGACTCCATATATAATTCTCAAACTACACATCCAACATACATATACAAAAGAGTAAATTATCGAAATGGTCCCTCGACTATTGTGAAATTACCAATTTGATCCTCGACAATTTTTCTTGTCCAATTAAGTCCTCAGTCTTTGAAATTGTTAACTGTTTTGGTCCTCCGTTCAATTAGGCGTTAGAAGTCTGTTTAAATGGAGGGCATAGATGGAATTTTGCATGAGAAGACCATTTCCTATCTTATTTAATTGCGCCTCAAAAACAGCTGATGAAAAAACCACACCGGAAAAGAGCAGCGAACTAAAAACTTGCTCTTCTTCAGAGCACTTCCAAAAGGCATGCATACATTGTGAACAACTTGAACGAGGCGTTCGAACATGTGTGGTTGGAGACAAGTGAGGATGAGTCCAGGTTTCATACATCCCCTGGAGAATTTTTCTTCCCTCGACTTTGTTGACACTGCTGCTGCCTCCGACCCCGTCAAACCTCATTCTTTAGATCACACTCCATTTAAACTAGTGGAGCAGCTCAACGATCTGAAGGATCGGAGTTAGTGGTTAAGTCGCAAGGAGTGGATGAGTTTGCAGTTGATTTGGAGTGTAATCAATATCGATCCTGTTTTAGGAATTACATGCCTTGTGCAAATATCTACTAGAACTGCAGTCGACAGGGACGGAGCCAGAGGGGGGCAGCTCACCCCACCCCGTATACAGTTTTTGTATAATTGTATGTATATATGTATATATAGTACAGGTTTTAGTATTAGTATAAAAAAAACTATTAAATATTAACTAGAAGTGAGTTAGAATAATTGGTAGAGCATATTTCTGAAAATAGTAAAGGTTGAGGGTTCAAATCTTGGTATCAACAATTAGTTTTTAATAGCTTTTTGTGTATTTAATACACACACACACACACACACATATATATATATATATAACATTCTTTTATATTAATAATGAGATGTATAATTTATAATGTGATTTCTATTCAAATTATTTTATCAAATTAATAAAAAATTCGATGTGTTTTATTTTTCGTTCATATCCAACAATATTTACAATTATATTTCTTAGGTAAATAATGAGATGTATAATTTATAATGTGTCTTCTATTCAAATTAATTATGTTTCATATTTTGTTATGAATATTTTAATAAAGTTTTGATGTGTTTTATTTTTCGTCCATATCCAACAATATTTACAACTATATTTCTTAGGTAATTTATTTATTTATTTTTAAACTATCTCTTTTGTTTTAATGTTTCGCCTTTACTGGAAAAATTTTCTGAATCCGTCTGTATTTTTTCGGCCCCCTCAACCGAATTTCTGGCTACGGCCCTGACCGCAGATTCTGTCATTGACACACTGAAACTTCGCATTTATGTTGGTCCTTATCTAAGAGAAATTTTTAAAGATCCAACCAAAAGAAAGGTGATGCATGGAGCAGATAAGGATATTCTGTGGCTTCAACGAGATTTTGGTATATATATCTGCAATCTGTTCGACACTGGGCCGGCCATGAAGATACACACTTTCTATTGTACATTTATAATGTCATGAAGATGAAGTTGCTTTCTTTATCTGTCAACACTGAATCAAGCAGTTCTCCTTTGGCAGATGTAAACAAACTTAGCTATGATATATGCATACAATGTTAGATCTAAATAGTCTAACTATAATAAACCATAGTATACGAGAAACCTGACCTCGTATGATAGCGAAAGCGTAGCCGTGCTGATCTCCAGCCATAGTTGATGTTCGTGTTGTGTTGCCTCTTAACGGTAGTCCGTTAGCCATGTTTTGCCTCAGACCTGACTCAGAACCCTAGATGGTGTATTGGTGTCTACTGAGCAGTCTGGGTATCGTAACTGAATGTGCTAACATCCATCACCCTGTATCCCATCAATCCAGGATTATATTAGGCACAGAGTCTGGTTGACTAACAACTACTAGTTATTAAGTCCAACCAGACCACTTAATAAGCCTAGTCAACTTGCACCACTTAATTAAGGCCCTAATATATAATATATAATATATATTATTAGGGAAAAGCTTACATTCTCCCACTTGGTGTAAGTACTAGCACAACCATCATCAAAGAAGTGAAAGAACAAAACACACGAATCATAGTGATATGTCCTCTATTTAATCAGAGTAGTATCAATTATGGTCACATGCATTTTAATTCTCCAACTTAGGTCCTTAATGAACAAACCCTATGTTTATTCTCGGTACCTTAAGGGATGTTTCTCAAAATACATTATGTGCACAACTGAAGGAGAAAACGCATCCAAATTGTACAAAAGAGTACACTGTATGATCTCTAAAACTTTATAAGCATGCCTTAAGTAGAGATCTCTTCATGTTAGCATAATGCTAACTATATTCCATGACTTCTTTATAAGTTAACTTTAAGTACTATCTCTAACAGCTAAAAGCTTGAAGTTGACACGTCTGTCACTCCCACTCATCAAAAATAGCCAAAAGATAGTCAAGTCACAGAAGCATTCCAATAACTTAGACAATAAATCAAACGTCTAAGTCCATAAATTTGGAATCTTAATCATACACCATAACTTCCCAAATAACTTCAATGTTTATTTTAAATGAACTGAACATAATGAGTCTTACTTATATGTCCCACAAAATTGTTTTGAGCCTTACAATTGAAATGGCCCAGGATCAATTTTGAAGAAACTAAAGACTCTATTAATCACTCTGAAGAATTTATTAAATAACAGTGCACCACAAATTAAATGTTTTTGTTCTAATAAATTCCTTGGTTACAACATTTTCATAAATATATTGCACAACCAAATGTTCAATAATTTCAACTTATGAATTTATATGAACAAATACAAGATTAATACTTGTGGAATATTTTGGACTTATTGTTTGACATACAATCAAATTTAGGATGTATGAATCCAATTAAATCCATAAACTTTAGTGGAGCATCTTAATGATCTTTTTCTAAATGATCACTCCCACTGATTAAAATATTCTTCAGCGAAATTAATAAAGTGAACTTAATAATATACATACTCATAATTGATTTATTGACCAACTAACAAATGAAGACATAATTCCCCACCATTAGTTGGACATACTAAATAATCAATTTTTTGTTCCAATTAAAGTCCAACGAAATAATGAAGATATATTTCTCCACCATAGTTGGACATACTAAAAAAAAAAACAAAATACATCTTTCAAAACCAAGTTAGAATTTGGCTCAAAAGATACATTTTAACATTATTGGAATCCAAGAGGTATGTCAAATCACGTAACTTACTACAGTTAGTCCGAAGAACCGAGCAAGATTCGTGGATCAATTAATAAAAGTTGCTAAATTTTGGGAAGTGACTGAAAACATGTTTTGCCAATGCAAACCATGAAACTTAGAATTATAATTGAACTAAATTTATAAATTCTAAGAATTGTGATAAAATTGTTATCTAATGGGTTGAAAAATTTATTGACATAAAACTTGCCTGTGGGCTAAAATTTTAATTCTATTAAATCCAATTAAGAAACCCTTATGATAATATTTTTCACAATTGCTAAAGAGCCAGAAGAATCTAGTGACATAAAAATTATCTGTGGGCTAAAGTTTTACTCAATTAGATCCAACTGAAAAATTTATTTATGATGAAACCATTATCAAATGAGTTGAAGAATCAAATGACATAAAACTTGCCTGTAGGCTAAAGTTTTAGTCAATAAGATTCATTGCTATCATTATGATAAAAAAACTTAAGAGATCATGTTCCTTTTCTTAATCCCTGTGGGCAAATTAAGAAATATGATCTAAAGTTTACATCATACAACTAAACTTCATGATAGAATTTAAAATTATTTACAAATAACCATAAAGTAAATAAATTGATTTATTTCTATCATCACTGATAAAACTACTAAACTACATTCTGATACATAATTGC